AAAGCTGTTGCTGTTATTGATGCATAACATACTGCCATTATTGGTCTATTGAAACTCAAATATGTGATGAACCCAACGTGTTACAGTGAGTGCTCTATCAAACATCTGGCAAGAGGTTAATGTTCAGAGTGTACAAGAAATTCCAACAAAGCAAACAAACAAAAGAAAACAAACAACCCAACAGGAACACAGGAGGAGGTGAATGGGAAGGAATAGACTTGACAGGAAGTGTGTGCATGGCCAATGAGCACAGGGAAAGATGCTCCACTTCCTTCTCAGTCATTGGCAAAAGGGAAATGAAAATCACAGTAAAGAACCAACTCCCATCTCTTAGGATTCCCTCCATTAAAAACAAAGATGGGAAACAGGAGTTTTGGAATATAAAGCAGTTAGCACTCTGGGGCATTGCTGAATGGGAGGGTAAAATGTAACCAGGAGACATGGCACTGAGGCTCCCCAAAGAGTAAAGACATGCTTGCAACTCAGTAAGTCTACATGCAGGATTGTAGGGGGTGGAGTGGATTCACAAGAAGTGTTTGCAATGGACAATGATGGTGGTTACACAGAAATAGGAATAGACCTCATGACGCTGAACTATACATTTCAGAATGTCTAAAATCTTATATATCAAAATATTTATAGGATGGGTGTTTTGCCTGCTCGAATTTCTCTACACCACATTCTTTCATGGTACCTGAGGAAGACAGAAGAGGATGCTGAATTCCTTGGAGCTTCAGTTATAGACAATAATAAGCTATAATAGATAATGGGAATTGAACCCCGATCCTTTGGAAGAGAAGCTAGTGCTCTTAACTGTTGAACCACCTCTCCAGTCCCATAACACACTCTCTCTCTCTCTCTCTCTCCTCCCTCCCTCTCTCCCTCTCTCTCTCTCTCTCTCCCACACACACACACACACACACACACACACAGAATCCCAACACACTACTACACACTGCCAAAAAATCAGAAAAAGAGTCTTTGCAAGGAGGTCATGTTGTAAATGTCAGCATGAGGATAAGAAACTTATGGGCCAACAAGATGCTCATTTGGTAATAGTGCCTGCCATGCTGCTTCCCAGTACCTAACCCCCAGCTGCCACAGATTAATAAATGTACAAACAAATTTGGGCCAGTCAAGTGGCTTAGCAGACAAGGAGCTTGCTCAGCCTCCTGAGTTCAATCCCCAGTCCCCAGAGAACTGGCTCCCACAAATGGTCCTCTGACCTTCACATGGGCATGGAGCATGCACAGAAAGTGAATAAATAAGCAAATGTAGTGAGAAACTCAATACAGGTCCTTTCTATGCATGGACTTTTTATTTATGGATCCAACAAACCTTGGAAACAAACTTCTTGGAAAAAATGTGTTTCCAGTGAAAAATGTATTGTTTCCTTCTTTATTTCCCCCTGATTTAACACAATAACACTAGTGCCTATGCAGTATTCTTATTAGGTGTTGGAAATAATCTAAAGAGGATTTGAATGTTTGTGAAGGTGTGTAGAGTAACATGAATATTTGACTAGATTCTGAGAGTTGACTGTGTGTTGGACGCAGACCCTAAACTCTGAATCCCTGTGTGTTTCTATTTGCTGTTTTGATATCTATTTTTGTTGTTTTTGATAGGCTATCTCAAGGTTACTTGGGCTGGCCTTGGAATCCCTTTCTACCTTTTTCCTCTGCTCTCTCGCTCTGTCTCTCATTCTCTCTGTCTCCTCTTTCTGTCTTTGTCTCTCTCATAGACATGGTTCGCTTCATAGCCCCGGCTAACCTGGAGCTCACTACAGTGACCAGGGCGATTGGGAACTCATAGAGATCCAGCCGTCTCTGCCCTGGTTTGCTGGGTTAGAGGCGTGGGGCACCATGCTCAGCTTGCTTGGTGTGTTATCATGAGATGAACGTGCCTCCATCACCAAGCTGACTGTTTTTGTATCTTGAGCAAGGGTTTTTCTCCTTGTGGCTTTTGCCCGTTTTGTTGATAAAGAAATTGCCCCACCCCAACACTGTGGAGTAAATGAGGGAGGAGAGGGCACTCACGTATTACGTCCAGCTGGATGGGATCACTCTTCTTGGAAACGGCTGAATTGAAGACCTCACACTCATACAGCCCAGAATCCTCTTCCCTAACAGATTGGATGCTGAGGATGCCACCATTCTGGTACAGCATCATCCTGTCTGGTAACTGCAGAACATGGCCATTGAAGTGCCAACGGATGGAGTTCTTAGGGTCGTCTGTGACACAGGTTATGTTCACAGCTTCATATTCTTTGACTGTGGTGTTGAAGATTTGGATGGTGGGCTTAGCCACAGCATCTGTGGAGAAATAGTAGAGGGGGCCAGTTGAGAGTCCTCAATATCTCAAATATCTCAGCCAGCTCACAGGGACGACAGAATGAAGGGGCCCCCTGCAAGATCACCTGCCCAGGTGATGCACAGTGACTCCTGACTAGGGGTGTGTGTGTAGATTCCACACTCAAAGCCTCTTATCCAGAAACCTCATAGTGGGGGGGATGTTTTGCCAGTTGATTTTTGTGCAAATTCTTGTCTCACACTTTTTGTGAGTGTGAACAGTCAGGTCCCTCCGTTATAAAATAGCCTTCGGTTGATTTTTCATGAAATAATTTGTCATAGGGTCAAGATGGCCCACCTAATTTTAGAGGTGTTAAATCCTAGACATGAGGACTGGGAGAAATCCCAAAGTTAATAATTTCAGCTGGAAGAAAGATTTTCTTTTCTGCCCCATGGATATGGATTAAACACATGGAGAAGTGGTGATTGCCAAAGTGTTGATAACACCCTGTTACTTTAATCCTTGACTCTGACTTTTTTTTTTTTTTTTTGAGGCCGGTGTCAGTGTATCATGCTGGCTAACCTCGTTCTTGCCATGTTGACCACACTGTCCTTAAACTCAAAGAGAATTACCTGCCTCAGCCTCCCAACTGCTATAACTAGAGGTCCACCATCCTTAGATCTTACCATAGAGATCTCCTGGCTCTTTCCTTGTGCACTCCTCTACATGGAGACTCCACAGAGGGGTGTCTGTTCTCCAAACCAGTGTACTCCACCGTTCTCAGTGATTACCTCAGGTGCTGGTGCTCAGAGCTCACATGGACTTTCAGAGCCAAGACAGTTCAGAGCCGGCTAACCTGTGGCTCCTCTTTCCACTTTCCCATCTCTGAATTCAAGGACTCTTGAGGTTCATCACTGAGACTATTTTACTTTTATTTTTGATTTTTTTTTCAGGCAGGATCTCACTTGTAGCTTTGAGTGACCTGGAACTTTGTATGTAGACCAGGCTGACCTTGAACTCATCCTACCTACATGCATCTTCCTCCTTAGTGCTATTATTAAAGGTGTGCTCAACCACTCTCAGCTGACATTTGTTTTTTAAACCTTGAGAAGAGCAAGCACTATCAAATAGTCAGTGACATGGTTCACTCAGGCTCAGAGCAGGGCTCCCAGGCACCTTCTCCACCCACCCTTCCTATACCAAGGAGTCAGAGTTGAGCCAGACAGCTATGAGATAGGAGCAGAGCTCTGTCCCCATCTGTGCAGAGTTTCCCCCTCACATTTGGAGAAAAAGAATGTGAGCACAGTTGAAAGCCCTGGATGTTTCTTCTAGGTCATGTTGACCATAAGAAGAAAATGGAGGGGACAGGAAGGCTTGTTTTAGTGACAGAAAGGTATTAAGGGACATTAAGGGGAGGGGCATTAAGACTGTCCCTCCCCTGGGAGGTCTCTCACACAACCTGAGGTTTTCCAAGGCTGGAAGAACCCTCCTCCTCACCTTCCAAGCTCCATTCCTATCAGCCAAGAGAGGTCAGAGAATCAGGAGGCCATTAGACATAGGGATAGAGCAGGAAGCCAGGGGGGTGGGGGGAGGATTGGGTTTTGCTTCTTCCCGTAGACATGGGCTCAAAATTAAATCCTTCTGCATCTTCCCAGAAAGTCAAAAGACTCCACTCTAAACCTGGTGCTGACATTACAGAGATCCAATGACAAAGAACTGTAATGTTCTTGACTGTGGTCCTATTGAGGCCAGTGCCAGAGTTATAGACGAGGCAGGTATAGGATCCACTCTTATTAGTAGAGGTGTTGGGATAAAGAGGCCGTGGGACCAAGATTACTGTGCAGGTGGGTTAGCGGCTTCCTGACAGGAGAGGCTGAGGTTGTCTTTGAATGGAAATGAGTATTTGAGGGGGAGATGATGGGGACATATGGGCCATCTGGAGCCACATGTGATGTCATCAGAGGGAAGGGGAAACCCTGGTCTGCAGAAGGCCATTGTATCTCTTTATCTGCGCTATAACATTAGATGAACAGCCACCATCCAGAAGTAGGTGCCGATTAGTAGAAGAGTCTGCCTGCAGCATGCACAAGCCCTGGCCTATCCTGAGCACAATGGACAAACAGCCCCACGGTACGTCATGTGTGTACTGAGCATGAGTCTGAGATGTCCCTTGTCTCCATCACCCTGAGTCTCTCTAAGGCAGGAGTTCCTCCAGCCATTCCAGCTCAGTGCTATGCCTAGGATGACCTGGGCCAGCCTAGGTATGTGTGTCCTGGGCCTTTCATGAACACAAGGGGACCGAGAATCCTAACTCTAGCTTATGTGTATTTAGGCAGTCTTAGCCAGGATGAAACAGGCAATTCTCAGAGGTAATGGTCACTTCGGGAGTTGCTCACTAGATTCCGGGTTTCACCCTTAGAGGGTTCTGTGTCAGGTATCACAACAGTGAATAAAGTGAGAGTCCTGTTACCCTCAGACAGCTTCAGCCTATCATCTTCTGAGAGTCTTTGGCCATTTATCCGCCACAAGTAGGTTGTCTTCTTAGTCTTGGGCTCACTCATTAATGTTACTGAGTCCTCACCCTCCATGGCATTGGAATTGTTGCTTGTGATGTTGGACAGGGGTGCTGTGCAGACAACAGAGAAGATTGTCTTGTTTGGTACCTCTGATTCTTGCAAGGGCCTCCCCCAACCAGACACAGTCTCTTATCACCCCGCCTACCCTGATCTTTAAAGAATCATGTAGGAAACAATTTACATGCAGATGGAGTATCTGAGTTCTCAGAGATAACGAGGCCTCCTGAGCTATGCATGGGAGAAGCAAGGGCTTTCTCATGAGTGAGTTGAGCTGCAGTGTTTGGGGATGGACAGACTCAAGCCTTGGAATCAGGGACCTCATTTCACCTCCTGGTCCTCACCGACCCATTGCAGCCTTGACACACAATGCTCGAGTCCTCCCAGCTGCAGTGACCTCCACTGCTCAGTGTAGACCAGTGTCCTCCAAGCCTTTGCTGTTCAGGGCTGTCCTACACATACGTCATGATTAGTCTTCCCATTGGGTTCCCTGAGAAACCTGACAGGCTGTCAGAGATCTCACACAGATCACCATCTGGCTAAGCAGTATCTGTTACCATTTGCCTGCATGAAATAATCCCTGGGTTGGACCCCTAGAGGCCAAGGGGCTACACTTTTCCTCCTATCTCTTTAGGGAACTTGACCTTCCTGTGAGGTCTCAGAAGACCATCAGATCAGCTGGCTGACTGCCTGGAACACCTCCTCACCTAGGCTGAGCACACAGATTCTCAGGAGGAGTTGTCTGGGTGACCTACCTCAGACATGGCTCTCATAGGTTGACAGTCAGCAGCTCACCAGCCTACAATCAATCATTGTCCCCTGTCAGCTCCAAAGGGAGGTCAAACTCCAACCCAGTCTATAAGCTTCCCAGGTTTCCTGGTCCAGCCTGGGATGGAGGTCTGGAGCAAACCTTTGGGTGCTCATCTCTCTGTGAGAATTGGATGGTTTCCTCAGGCATGCCCTGCCTGAGTCTTGAAGGGTCTTTCTGAAGGCCATGTTCCCCATGAGCATTTAAGACCCTGGACAGAGTCTGTCATGCCTGGGTTCAGGAACCAAACTCCCTCTTCTCTGAGGGCGGATTCCAGTGAGACATCCTGATTTATTTCTCCACTCTGTGTCCTCTACTAAATGTTGAATCACAATGTGGGGACCATAACAGAGTCATCCAGGACTGAGACCCCTATGTGTGAAGTAGGATTACCTCCACCCCGTCCCAGAGGTTACAGAGAATTACTTACCGTTTACTTTTAAGTTCACAGTCCCCGTGAGAGTATCAAAGGATTTCAATAGAAGATGTACTGTGTAGGTTCCAGCGTCTTTCTTAGTGACTTTCTGTAAGAGCAGGGATCCATTCTGGTATACTTTCTCTCTGCCACTGTTTAGAGGCCCTGGAATAGATTTACTACTGGAATTTATGAACCGTGCAATTTCACTTTCTGCATTGTCTTTGTTCCCCTTGTACCAGTAAGTGACTTGGGCTTCCGATGGCAGATTTGGGATCTGTAGATAAACGTTTTCCCCTTCTTCAACTTTGAGTGGATTTACTTCAACAATGACTTGGGCAGTGGCAAGAGAGATCCAATAGGTTAAAAGTGAGGCTAAGAGGGAACAGAGAAAAATCATTAATGTTAGGACCTTTTCGTTTGGTAGAAATATGAAACCTGAGTACACCCCATCTCAGTCTTTGTGTGTGTGTGTGTGTGTGTGTGTGTGTGTGTGTGTGTCCTGTGGGGGGAGGTCAGCAGCATCACCTCCATTCCTCAGAACCCCCAAATTTTTCCCCTGAATGACAGTGTCTTCTTGGGTGTCTACCCAGCTCACCCCTCACTCCCTCAGATCCCTGCTCAGAATATTTGCAGTGTAGGCATGTCTTCTCTGACCTCCTCCTATACAGACTCTGTGCCTTCATTTTCTGCCCTTTCCCTACTCTTTGTCTTCTTATGTGCTTGTCAACCCCTGAGGCCACCTTCTAGGTGTCCTTGCTGCTCTGTCCTCGTGCCCAGTAGCACTAGGACTGTGTGAGGAGAACTAGTTTGATGCTGGTTTAAACCCCACTGCCTGAAACAGGCTCAGATACCTGTGAGCAAATCAGTGTCCCAGAGCCTGGGGTTTATTTGCAGGTTTCTCAGGGTCATATGTCATGTTGCTGTTTACTGGCCCCAGTTTAGGTTTACTTGGAGAGTCACCCTGACAGAGTTGTGATTGTCGTCTTCAGGGTACAGTGGCCAGTGCTGATAAACTTACAAGGGGGAACAACTGACTTTTCCCCCCCTAGTTACCAATTTGCATTCACGGCAAGCTTCCTGTTGCTCTCAGGCTTCAAGCAGAAGCCAGATGGCCTTTCTCAGACCCTTTCCCTCTTCCAAAGACCCCACCCAGTCTCTGAGCTCCCCTGCTCTCCACCATGAGGAATGTCTCCTTACCTGCAAGCAGGAGTCCCTTCCAGGGGACCTGCCCTTTATGGAGAGATGCTAAGGTGAGCTCCATGGTCTCTGCTGCCCTCTAGGCTCTTCCTCAGGAGATGTCTCAGGCTGCTGTCAAGCCTGGCTGCTCTGGTGTCTGCTCTGTGTTTCTTCCCAGACCTGAGCCTCCTCCCAGAGGAGGGCACCTCCTGCAGTCACATGGGCTGGGGGTGGAGTCTGTGTGCCAGTTCTGCCTCCCATCCTTCTATTCCTTTCTGGTTCAGTGTTCTAGAACCTCTTTGAGTCACAAGACTGAGAAGTGTCCTGTGTCCCGAGAGAACAGCAGCTCACCCCAGGGCTGCCCTCTGCTGTGTCCTGGCCTGGTCTGTTACCACCAGAGGGAGTCCCTGCATTTCTATAGCCAAGAGTGTATGGCACAGAAACCCAGTAGAGCCCAGTCTGCTCTGTGTTTCCAAAGCTCTGGGAAGGAGGGAGTTATCTCTAGTGGTTGGAAAAGCTAGCTGAGCGATGACCGTGGAGGACCCAGATCTGTCATCGCTGCTGTTACCAGTCAGGTGTCTGATCCAGGGATACGAGTTATCTCAGGGGTTGCATATCCTGGCGTGTAAAAGGAGTCGACCTGTGTGTCCTAGAACGAGGACTGTGTGTTCAGACTTCCTATGGAGGGCACCAGGGAGACACCCCCTCATCCCCATCCTCCTGTGCTGTCTGAATGTAACTCAGGTCTGCCCATGAGTCTCCCTGACCTTTCTGGGATGACTTAGTTCTCCTTAGTGTTTTCCCTGTGATCTTCCCACCTTTCCTCATGGATGAGGTGAGTGGGGAGGGGACTACATAGTGTCTCCTTGCAGAGTGGGCTTCTCAGAGACACAGGAAATGACTATGTGAGGGAGCTCCAGCTCTGTTGAAACTGGGATGGAGCCAAGGCTGCAAGATAGCTTCACACCTCAGGTTTTTTCCCGTTGATTTGTGGTTTATTGTTGCCCCCCAGTGTGCATGAGGAGACCTGCAGCTCACGTCTGGGCTGCCACAAGGATGATAGCCAAGCTCCAAGTGCTGTTAGGAGCGGAGCAGTAAGTTTCCCAGGATAGGTCCCAGTTTGAGGATCTAGTTAGATTTTTGCTGAAGTTTTATAACACCTGCCATTTTGATCTGCAGTTCCATGAAGACTGGTGATGTTGAAACCCCTTTTCCTGTGTATTTATCAGCTTTTTGTACATCTTGTTCCGGGGCAGGAGTATCCAAGTCCATTTCTCACTCTAAAATAGTTTTGTTCCAGCTTTTACATTAAAAAAAAAGTACATTCATCCATCAACAATACCACTTTTTAGAAGTATAAGGTAAAATGAAAACCAAACCAAACCAAACCCTGCAATCTTCTCAGTGTGTTGGTTCAGGGTCAGCAAGTCGGTATTCTCAGGAGTTCTCAAAAATCCCCAATGATGATGGTATAATCACACTTCTGTCAGCCTTCAGTCTCTATAACTTTTATAGCTGGAATTCCTATTTAAATAGGAATGCACCCTACATTGGTCGTACTTATAAGAACTGCATTGTACAGGGATATTTAAACAACTTAAACCATGCCTTTACATGTGGGAATTGCTGGCTAAGGATTTACCTTAACACTGTTTTACCTTAACACTGTTTTACATGTTGAGAGAGCATTCAGAGGACCCACACAAAGTACAGCATTGTGCGAACTCACTCTTTAAAATTTCCCTTTCATGTTCTCCTTGCTTACTGTTGTACTATACCTCTGAATATTTAATCACATATGTGCATGCATACATTACATCTTGGAATCAGATACAAGAAAGAACATTCTCCCTCTCCCCCGAGATTGGGTGAGCTCATGTGACATTATATATTCTAAGTTCATCCACTTCCCTGTCAATTTTGTGATTTCGTTTTTCTCCAGAGAGGACTATTTCTCCTGCTCTATGCACTAGACTTGCATTGTGCAGTCATCTGTTGATGGGCATCTAGAGTGAGGGGCTCCATCTCCTTGCTATACTGAATAGAGCAGCAGTAATCACGGGGGTGCAAATATCTCTATGGTAGGGTACAGGATCTCTGGGGATATGCCCAGTGAAATCACTGAGTCACATGGCATTTCTAATGATTTGAGGGACTTCCACAAGCTTTATATAGCGACTGTAGTAATTTGCACGCCCACCAACAGTGAACAAGTGATCCTCTTCTCCACATCCTCTGCAATCTGTGTTGCCAGTTATTTGGATGAGAGCCATTCTACCTGGGGTGAGCTGGTGTCTCACAATAGTTTTAATCTGCGCTTCCCTGATGACTTAGGGATCACTTTTTCTCCTGTTATTTATTCCGAACACAAATCCATATCATATATATGACTTACAAATATTTTATTTTTTTCTGTCCAGTTTAACGCATTAACTTACTCTCTTAGGTTGACTATTGCTGTGATTAAACACATGATCAAATGGAATCTGGGGGAGGAAAGGATTTAATAACTTACACTTCCATATCATTGTTCATCATTGAAGGAAGTCAGGGAAGGAACTCAAACAGGACAGAACCAGGAGGCAGGAGCAGATGCTGAGGCCATGGGGTGGGTGTGGCTTACTGGCTTGCTCCTTATGGCTATATCCATCGGCTTTCTTATAGAACCTAGGACTTTGAGCCCAGGGGTAATTCTACCTACAATGGGCTTGGTTCCCCCATTAATCACCAATTAAGAAAATGCTCTTCAGGCTTGCCTATGGCCCCATCTTATGGAGGCATGTTCTCACATAAGTCTAGCCTGTGTCAAGTGGATGTAAAATTAACCTGTACACCTACTAAGTAAATTTGACTAAAGCATGAATGTTAATACTCATTCACAAAACCAACTTTATGCCTTTATAATAAATTCTTCCAGAATTTAAAAGCAAATTAATTTTTCACATTTGAAAATCTTTAAAAATATTTGTTGTGTCCTTTTGCTTCTCAGAAAGCCTTTGGGAGGTAGAGCAGTTCTCTGTTCTTATTTTTCAATGTTTTATAGGAAGGGTTAGGGGAGGCAATTTTGTGTTTTAACTATTTTTCTTTTCTTCAAAGAGTGAAGAGAATGGGTTCACTTACTTTACAAAATATTTAAAATTCATTATTTGACAATTCCATGCACATACAGGTGTGCACACACGGGTAAAGGTATTTTGGTCATATACAAGCCTATCACTCTCTCAATACCTCCCACTCCTGCTAATCCCTTCTTCCTAAAATGCTCTCTTGTACATGCCTCATGTGTGCACATGCGAGTTTTTATTGTTCTGTGTATACTTGTGTGTGTGCATGTGTGTGTGTGTGTGTGTGTGTGTGTGTGCGCGCATGTGCGTGCGTCTATGTGTGTCTGTGTGAAGGAGTGTGGGCATGCACCATAGTGTGCAGAGTTCAGATGGTCACTTTCAGGAGATGCTTCTCTCCTTCCATCTTTACATGAGTTCTGGAGATTAATCTCAGGTCATCTGGCTTGCGCAGCAAGTGCTTTCACTAGGTGAGCCATCTCACTGGGCTTCTATCTTTTTCTTTGTGTTCCACACTGTGTTTAATTAAGGTTTCTTGCATGGTGGGGTGCTTAGTTACCATAGTATAGGCAATTAAGCACTGAAGAAAATTATTTCCCACCCCTTGGTGACCATCAGGTGCCAATGGGATATGAGGAAGGAGTGTGGCCCCTCAAGTACCCCCCTGGTCCATGGTGTGCTGTTGTTGGGCCAGTCTCACACAGGTCTTGTGTTGCTGTGTTTTCATGAGTTCATGAGCATACCGTGTGCAAGCGTCAGAGGCGTACCTCACTCTTCATCCGAAGCCTTACCTTATGTCATCTCACCTGCTCCACCATGTTCCCTGAGTGGGTTATATAGACGTTCTGTTCATGGCTGAGTACTCAGCTGTCGTTTATTCTCCGACTGTTCACCTTGCCTGAGGTGTTCCTCAGACACACGAGAAGCAGAGTGGATTCCTGACTGGATGGGAACTGTGCTGCCTTTTACAAAAGGCCTAGTTCTGCATAGGGCCATATGTCTGCAACTCCACATCCTGCAAGCAGAGAGGATGGGTGCTGAGGGGTCCCTCTTGCAGGAAGGTCAGGGTCCTTGCCTCTGAGAGCATTAGTGGTTATGGAGTATGGAGTATCGACTGGGAGGAGACATTCTGAGTGTGTTAGAGGTCAGTGAGGAGGGGAGGTGGAGGCGGCTCCATTTCCACAGGAAGAATGGACTAGCAGTCGGGCTCCTCTGTGCTGTTTATGACAGGTGACCTTGCTGCTCCAGGGAAGGCTCAAGTCCCTAGCAGAGTGACTATTTGAGAGGACATTGGGGTGCCTTGGGGCCTCCATAGTAAGACTGAAGGTGTACTCACCAGAGTTGGACCCTAGTACTTGTGGCTTCCTAAGGTCATGGTGGACAGTGGCCCTGGGCAAGGGAAGAATTACCCTTGTGGTGAAGGAGAAATCATATCTTTAGGGGCAAACAGTGTATAAGGAAAGGGCACTGCATCCCCAGAGAATCAGGGAACCTCCCCTCTCTCTCAGGTGTCTGTTTGGAGGAGATGGCTAGTAAAGGGCAGTTGAGGAGATGCAGTACGAAGCCTCTTCTGTCATGGGCCAGGGTGTGACAGTTCCTCAGCATGGATAGGTCTCCAGTAACATTCATCCAGGAAAGGGACTCAGGAGCTAGGAAAAGGTCAACCCTGCAGGTTTGCCTGAGTGGAAATGTCCAGTCCCTGAGACAGAAGCACGGCCAGCAGATAGAACTCAGTGCATGTCACTTCTCAGGCTGGGCCTGCTGTAGTCAGACCTTCTTCCAAGGACAGCATGTGACAGTGGTCCATACAAGATATACTATCCAGGATTTGTCCTAGCTGATCCCCAGGATCATGTGCTGTGGTTCCTCAGGTAGTTTAGAAGGAGTTTCTAGAAGGAAAGACAAAATCACTGCTTCCAGGAAAAATGGGGAATAGGTGTGACCAGGCCTCCCAGGACTCTGTGTGTAGGTTCCAGGTTCCAGTTTCTAGGTCATTCATTCATCCTTTTTAAATCATTCATTCCTTTCTTCCTCCATCATACAAGTGTTGGCTCCACTGTTACCTTTGAAGGTGGCAGGGTGCAGTGGGAGAA